TCTTACAGACCTACTACCCTCTGTTTACCTACCTTGTACAATGAAAGCGTGTCTATCTATATCTATAGTTGTCAGTTCAAATCCTAAAAGACCTGGTGTTGAAGTTGAACTTTTGTTCCATCCCATCCCTGAATTTCCTTTCTAATATCCTGAAATGCACCGTTTCCACTCAGCTCCGCCCACATCTGCAAGGCAATAACTGTCACAGCACCAAAACTGAACTGCCCTTTTCAAATTCACAGTGCAGCCGACTATGGCCCACACACCATCCCCACTCCTCTCTGCCTAAACACTGCTTTTAACATGGTGTAAGCAAGACACAGGAACTTGGCATGGGTCTGGAGGAGATAAATAGCCTAAATTGTAAACATGCTGCACTGCTCCATTCACAGTTGTAACGTAAATGCTACCTTCATACTCACCATCACACAAACACATGTTTCCTCTCTATCTCTCAAATGCACTCTTGCTAACGTTACGCACACCACCGGGCCACCAGGCTTGCAATCAATGGCGGAAACTCTTGTCCCGTCACCCCAAAAAACACATGAACTTTCTAGTAAACAAACACAACGTGCGCCGCCATGTGAATCTTTCCCCCGAACCATCACTACTGAAGTTGTATCTCCTTCGTGTTGCTAACTTGGGCTAGGCAGTGGGATAAATTGCACACGGCTTCTCAGAGACAGGTGGTTCTGTTTGTTTATAAACAAATTTATGTTAATCACGTTGTTATTTTTCTTATTACTTGTGCAGTGCAGGTGTGATTTAGCGTTGTGACTCCGTTGGCTCAGGTTGCTGATCTAGTTACTTTTTAATTTGCCAGAAGGTGTCATAATGACAAATGCCAGTTCAGCCAGCTTGCATTAAATCTCAGCGGTTTAAGCTCGTACACTGCACCGGAGCTCCAAATTCGGAAATCGAGCCAACACCAATGGTGTCTCATTAGTCATCCTAAAACAATTTTGTCCTATTGGCATGACCAATTCTGTACACATTTAGTTGATTAATAAGCAGTTCTCAATTAAAGTATAATCATGTGTAAGTTACTAGACGTGGAAGGTATTGAAAAGACATTGCAGGTAAAACAAATGAGGTAGATTGTGACCATTTTGCAGATACAGATAGTATATACTTTTTGGAACTTGAAGCAAAAGTATTAAAACCTCATTATGTTTAAGTCTCATTAACCAAGATCTCGAAGACCACCTCATCATGGTATTCCACAGGGATTAACGCTGGGTCCCCTTCACTTTATCATCCATCTCCTCACTACCATCAGACATCAAGGCCTCCTGTTACAGCATTGATGCTCAGCTATTCATTTCCATCTAACCGCTTGGTTACTACCTCCGTCCCTTCCCCAAGTTGCTGCCTCTAAAACCCAAAGAAGCGGATGAGCCAAAGTCTCAAAACTAAAAAACGGCAGTGGTGTATAAAGTACCCAAAAGCCATACTTGAGAAAAAGTAAAGATACCTTACTGGAAAATGACTCCAGTAAAAGTAAAAGTCACCTATTAGAATACTACTTGAGAAAAAGTCTTAAAGTATCTGATATTTATTGTACTTAAGTATCAAAAGTAATTTTTTGATATTAAATGTACTTAAGTATTGAAAGTAAAAGTACAAGTAAATGCTGTTAATAAAAAAGCGAAGGGTCAGAATTTTGAGAATTATGAAGTTTATTCTTTTAAGTGCTGTGGCCACCATGACCAAGGACATGGAGCTGTGTTGGAAATAATTGGGTTGGCTGTGATCCATCCAGGAGCAACAATGTTCAACATAATATATTGTACATAAGTATACTTTTGCATCTACTATGAACTTATCATCATAATTCTCCGAAAAGCAATATGACACTATGAAGGAGTTGTAACAGTGCGTTTATAAGTATGCTCATTCCAACTAGAGGATGTAGAGGGCAAATGCATAATATTGTGTTCAGCAAAAAATATCCACTTGATGCATCAGGTCAGTGTTGTGAGAAAGGACACCTGCCTTGTAAACTCATATGGGCCTGATTTGAACACAATATGCAAAGGTTTTGCTCAAGCTGAATCTGCAATTGGGCGACTGCTCCCATCATAACTCCATCTGATCATCCACAAAATGACTCAAATATCAAAACATGATCAATACTAAAGCAGCACCGAAAGTAACAACCCAGTCATTACTGGAAACTGAAAAATGTCCTGTTCATCTTCAAAAGACAATTCTACTAGAATGTAACTTCTAATAGAATTGTTTTAAAGAAGCTACATTGTAATACAATGTAGCTTCTTTACATTCTATTAGAATGTAAAGAAGCTACAGTGTATAGAATGATTCTATTGAAGTTATTCCTTTTTTAAATGTTTTAGACGAGTCACTAATCACTTTAAAAGGGTGATTATAGCTGATTTAACTTACAGACATGAGATTGATCTTCTCATGGCACTCTCTTTATACAATGATATAAATTCATCCCCGTTTTATTGATATCTTACGAAAAGTTACTCCTCACTTTTCGTGCGTTTTTCCTGCAAAAGTCCAGCAACATGAGTCTGTTTTCGCTTGTTACATGCATACTGTCTTTTCAAAACAAACTTCCATCTTCACAGGAAACAACTACGGTTTAGGCGATGAAACTACTTAGTTAGGTTTAGGAAAAGATCGTGGTTTGCGTTAAAATATCTACGGAAGTGGCGTTGCTTAAGTACGGAAGTCACGTCACAAATAAATCAACATTGGCTTCTCGTTTCACGCACGGCACAAACTGCGGCCTCCTGGAGGAAACAACAGTGTTTGTTTGACCCATCCACCTCTCCTCATCCCACCCGTCCTGTGTGGAATTCTACTCGTGTTGTCGCTCGCTAGCTATAGCATATAGCATCCTGGGCATCACTGGGAATCAAAGCACCGCGGCTTTGAGAGCACTTGTTTTGCGCATTAACGTGATTAACCAATGATTTAACTTGCAAGCTAGGACCACTGATTCACCAAACCTGCTTGCTTGCAGTCTCTGTTCCACCACAGCCCCCGACGCTGGTCTCATGATTCATTTTGTTTCTAAAGATAGATTTGATTTTGTAGCGAGTAACGAAGGTTTCAGGGGAAATGTATCGGAGTCAAAGTATCAGTTTTCTTTGCAAAATGTCATGAAGTAAAAGTAAAAGTCAACAGAAGTATAAATAGTAAAGTAAAGTACAGATATCCAAAAAAACGACTTAAGTACAGTAACGAAGTATTTCTACTTCGTTACTATACACCACTGAAAAACGGGCTTAATAAACCAATATAATTACTACTGATCAATGCAGATGCTGCACACGGGTCTTTTTTAAAGCAATATTTTGGCAAGAGGACATATGTTTGGGGTGTACAGTGCATACAGGCAAGTGTTAGTATATGGATGTTCAAGCAACCTACTAACTTTTTACAGCAGCAGTCTGATGCAGTGATTCGTAACGTGGGGTTCAGGACCCCAAAAGGATCTGTGAAAAGTTTTGAGATCCATTACTTTAAAAAATAATTTGTTTGTTGTTTTTTTACAAACAATATCCTTGTTATTATAAAGATCAAGCAGCTGACAATGAATTTATCAATTTTGGTTGAAATATTCATTTTAACTTAAATATGTTGGTATTATATACAAACTTTGCATGTGAATTGTTTGTTATACCGAAATCTTAATATATTGAATATATTTTATAATTTCTATATGTTAAAATATATAACTGTGAGTATGGCTTTTGATGAGATATTTGCATAGTAGAGTAGCACCATAGGGTGACTGGTTAATTTATTGCTACGGGAGAGGCAACTCAATAGGTTTTAGGAATATGTACGGGTTTTTGTTTTTTTTTGCAATTGGCAATTCAATATGCAAATTGGTCATGCAATCTCAATCATTTGCATTGCATAATAGGAAATGCTTCAAACATGAGAATAATAAAATAAAAGACACAATAAAGTAAAACTTGGCGACTTATTTTGTTTTTGTTCAAATAGCAAATAATTATACAGACATCAGATAATGGGGAAGGCTTAAAAGTGTGAATGCGGCTTTTCATTAGTATCAGTTCATTCGTCCATGTGCTTGGTCTCATTCGGCTGCCATATTAAATTCATACTGTGAGTGAAAGCATAGGCAACCAGTTGGGAAGCATAGCCTACCCTGAGTGCAACTCCGAGGTGTAAACAGAGTAAAAATAGCCTGCTATCACAGGCTTCCCTACAGTCCCGTTATATAATGCTCCAAGCTAGGATGAATGACATCACGCGCAGTCCAGCAATCACAAACCCTATGTCCTTTACAACCAGCTGACAATGTAAAACACTCCGTAGTAGCCACGATATTACATACGCAACACTATTTAATAAACATGCAAATTCTCGCAAACACTGGACTAATGTGGACTGTGGTTAGTTGTTGTTCGCCTCTTTTCGCGAAGAGAAAAACACTTCCGCGATGGTGAAACGTAGATAAAAAACGCAATGCTTGCCTTTGACAGTCCGTGTCAGTAGGAAAATAGTTCAAAAGAAGACATTGCGGCTTAAAGCAGCGGTGTTTAGCGGTGTATGTCAATGTTAAGCGCTAAGAAATAGTCTGGAAAGAGCAAATGTTTGAGCCGAGGTCGAGTGGCGCAGTTACTGAAAGTACAGCGGCTGCCCGACACCAGCTCGCCCCGGCGGACGCGCTCCGCGCTCGGGCAGAATCGAGCCAAACCCCCGCTCTCTTTCGCCCCACTTAAACACTACTTTGCCTTCACGTTCCGGAATGACAAGTGCATACACACAAACCACGCACGCACCCGCGCCGTTTGGTCACTTAAAAAAAATAGGTCAGAGGGCGAAGTAAACATTTTCCCGAGGCTTTGGAGTAAACCGGAGCGTCAGCGCCACCCTGCCCAGTTCTTCCAGCCATTTTCTCTTCACAGCTTCCAAAAAAAAGAGAGAAAAGTGGCGTGGTGACAGGTCGCCTGAAACGAGTACTGAATGAACAGTTTTGTGCGACTTACTGTAGGGTGAAACGGGCTGCTGAGTTTGTGTCTCTCCTTGTTGCCAGGGCTCCCCTGCTCTGCTCCGGCGCTGACGGTGGGAAGCGTCTCTCCCCTCCTGATAATGTTTGCAGCGCCCAGCTATGAGCTCTCTGCCCCCACCAAAGAGAGCGAGAGAGGGAGAGAGAGAGAGAGAGAGAGAGAGAGAGAGAGAAGTTTAAAAAAATGGAGCAGTTTGTAACCTACTCATGCAAAAACATGACAAGGCTCGGAGCAGAGACTGAATTACGCATTCACTGTCAGTAGCTACTCGTGCGTGAGAGTGCACAGTAGGCCTGCGTATGCCATTTTTAGTTCAAGTGTGTTTGGATATTTTTGACAGCATATGGCTGCTGCATTCGTTGTAGAAAGTTCACGAGGTGTGTGTGAGTGGTTTTTATTTTTTGGGAATTTTATTCTAAATATCCACCATGATATTATAGAGCTTTCTTAACAAACCCTCATTCACAAAAAAAGTGAGTAGAAATAGTAGCAGAGCGTCTCCTGTGTTAAAGAACATTCCAGCTGCAAACCCCAACACCATAAGTGTAAGGTTAAGTACAACTTTGAGGTACTTTACTTGAGTATGTAAATTTTCTGCTACTTTTTCCCATTTAATTTCAAATGTCAATATTGTTTTTTATTCCTGTACATATGACTGCTGTTGTTTTTCTATTGGAGATGAAGATTTCACATCTAAAACATATGATCAGTTTATAGAAAATCAATGCATTGTTTACATTAATCTACCCAACAACATATCAATTACGAGAATTAGCTCCACCCCTACCTGCTACAACACTAAAATGCTGCATGTCGATGCATTACCAATGATAATCTAATAATGTAATACATAATAATATAACACTGACAGGTTGTCATTCTGCTCCACAATCAATATTTTTGATACCGTAAGTACTTTTTTCCTGAAAATACATTTGTAGTTTTCATTACCCTGAAGTGAGGTGTAAAATGTAATTGAGTATTTTCTAGTATTATTACTTTTGTCAAAGTAATAGATTTTAATAACTCTTCCACCACAGCATAAGACAGGATACACTTTATTGATCCTGTGCACAAAAATTTGATGGCAACAACAACGGCGTGTAGATAAGTAACCTTAAAAAACTAGATTATTATTATAAACATCTATTACAATACCAGGTATGGAAAACAAAAATAAAAGTTAAAAGCAAATTTTTTCCATGAAAAACAAAGCAGTCTCAATAAAGTCATTGAATACGGTGAGACTTCAATTTGTATTTGACAATGTCATTTTTAAAACACTATGTTTGATGCTGGGGGATACCAAACCGTCTTTACATTTTATGTCTCAGAGAGCTGCTGTCAGGAGGTCACGGCAAGCATTTGACGCAGAGAGCTGGAGATCTCTGGGAGAATCAGCTCAGCTGAGGGCGATGACTGAGAGTCAGCTGACAGTGACAAGGTGGAACATCTCAACTGCTGATAGCACATACACACACACACACACACACACACACACACACACACACACACAACCAGAAACATACAGTAATTCTAAAAAACGTGATGAAAGACGCTTACTGCATTACCGGATTCAGTTATTGCTAATTCACTTTAAGCTGCTACATTCATTTGGCTCTCCGTGGCTCAGTCACACATTCGACAGTTAAAAAGATCTGGGAGGTTTAACAGACATGACGTGCTATTACTCTATGAATCAAAATCATCCACAAAATTGACTAAAATACTGCTGCTGAAAAGCATTGAAATCTTTTTTTTTTTTTTTTAATCAATTGGACCTCTGTGACCTCTCCCAGATTTCCAATATGGCAACAAGCTCCTTCGCCTCCCCGTCACAGGAGAGTGCAACCTGACACTGACCCGTGGAGCCGAAGGGTGCACGAGGCTGCAGAGTGACAGACGATCTGAGATGTATCCCACTCCCTGCCAGTCACTCAATAAGTGGCCTATTGTCCGGCGGTCTATTGTGCCCCTGTCACATGGACGGCAATCAAAGAGACGGAGAGGTAGGCCGCCCTGTGTGCCAGGAGGCTAGCATTACATTCATGGCCTGGATGCATAGAAATGAAGAGACACCGTCTGGTGGTGAAAAGACCTTGATATTTGAATGGAGACCGGAACAACAAGTTTCAGTTCACAAACATTTATTATGCAAGCTGTATACATGCTGTTTGATACTTAAAGTCCCTGTAGTGCTTCCTGTGGTGTCACTTTAACACTGTATATACAGTATGAGTTGCCACACACACAGCATACTGTATGTGTCAGTTCAGAACTCAAGATGAAACAGTGAGCTGACAACATGTTTCTGAATGAATCACCAAGTCATCCTGATTTGTGATTTAATCATAGGGTTGCTGAGGGTCTTGCTAGCTCACAGAAGTGCATGCATATACTCAATTTCAAACACACAAGCATGTACTCGTTCCCGTCTTTACTCTCTCACACTCTGTCTCTCTCACTTTCGTCTCTGCATGTACACACAGGAATACACCTCCTCACTCTTTCAGTGGGTTGATGAATAACTTTTTTTTTTTTTTAAAGCAGTTGCAAAGGACCAGCAGACATGCACAGTTTAGGCAAAGTCAGTAGGGCCGTTTCCTGTCTGCCAAATCCTTCATTCAAATGACTTGCACCATTCAGAGATGAGAATACATAGTTGTGATTGTGTGTGTAGTGTGGTGTGGTTGTGGTGTAGGGCCATGGTGTGCTCGAGGGATTATAAACAACTGCTCCCAAAGGAGGAGCAGATTCTTCCAGGGTTGGGTTACTCCCTAGAGAGTTTCTGTGTTCTTTGTTTGAGGTGTGAACACACTCTGGGACGATAAAGTGCACCAGGTGTGGCATGTATGGTAAGAGCCCTGAGAAATTGAAGACTGGCTGTTTCAACCTGCATACCTGTATGGCTATCTGGTGTGATTAAATGACTCACATCTTTAAATGTCATCGCAGTTTTTAACCCCCAGCGATTAAAAAGCTACATTTTTGGGGAAAAGGGGGCAAATGGAATATTAGAAACATGATGCTGCAAGATGCATCATCACTGTCCAACCTATTATGGTATATGCTTCTATAATAAAAAAGCTGATGCCCAGTTTTCGTATCACTTCTTAAGCTCTGCTGACCGGGAAACCAAGACACAACTGTATTCAGATATCCAAATAAGAGGCATGTCAGTTAAGTGGATGTGTCCGTGTGTATGCACAAACAAGGGATTTGACACCTCACTTGGGATATGAATAAATAACACTTAAAACACACACTGAGGAAGATAAATAATTAAAAATCACTCGCCTTTGCATGCAGCTTTTAAGGGATTTTCAAAGATGTTAATGGCCATGGACATCTCTGCAGAGTAATGAAGTGGCACAGCGTCTGAAGTGTTTGCCACTTATCATGGTGCATTCAGCTATTGAGCAACCCAGCTTTTCAGACATTCAGATAGCCTTTTCTTAATTTCTATGTGAAAGTTTACCATTTACCTGTTCAGCCGGTGTGAAAATCCAAGCAGGAGAAAGAGTAGGCCGATGCATTGACATATCAGCACTTCAAATTCTCTGCTAAATCCAATCACGCCTTCCTTAGCAGAAGAGGAACGGTCATCCTGTGTGCTTTGAAAGTAGCTGTCACTTCAGATTTCAAGGCTGTGGTGTCTGCTGAAGCCTTCTCTCTCTGTGCACATATAGGGGATGGTGTTTTTTTTGCAGCTACTCACTGCTCCCCCTTTTGCTCAAATGTGGAAGTGTTTACAAGTTACAGGTACTAGAGAGAATCATATCAAACACTGCAAGAAGAATAAATGAAGTGTTTTTTACTTGTATTTTATACCGTATAGTAATATCCCCTTAGGAACAATACATGAATATCCACTGCTTCACTTTTAAACGGACGATGATCACCTTTGAAATGCTGTCATTTTTTAAGTAATAGATTATAACAGTGGTTCCCAACATTTTTTTTATCAAGATGCTCAGTGGGTGCCCAGCACCTACTGTCCGTGTGTCGGAGTGTGCTTGAGCGAGAAACTGAACCCCAAGTTGCTCCCCGGGCACTTTACAGCAGCCCACTGCTCCTTCAGATGGGTTAAAGGCAGAAGTCAAATTCCATGTATGTACATGTATGTACATGTATGTATATGACGCGTGTAATAAAGTTTAACGTTTAAGAGCAGCCCTGTCCGATGAACTCAAGTACACTTCAGGTCTGTTTTCAGCTTGTATCCACTATTTCAATGTTTATCCATTAATTTGAGATATTTCAACCAATATCCAACACTTTTAAAGGTGCAGTATATGGCATTCAGAGCAAAAATATTGCAGCAAACAACTATTTGTTGTTTAAAGATATACTGGAGTAATATATACCTGAGCAGAGAGTGAAGTTGCTCTCTCTGTAATCTGCTTTGCTTTGTTGACACAGCCCGGACGGTCTGCATGTGAGCGAGTCACATTGGCTACATGTTGCTGCCACTCTGCACTGCGCTCATACGTCAGTTTCAGCTAATAACGCCGTCCCGACCCACGCCCACCCTCCGGATTCCCCTCAGATAAACACTGTTAGCACCGTTAGCGCCGTTAGTTGAGACCCGCTGGGTCAGTCGTTGCCACAATTAGAGCCATTGAGAGGTAATAGATATGCTCCCAATCTGGTACATGGCCCCTTTAATTATTTCAACTGTTTATCCATAATTATAACTATTTGAACCGTTTGTGTGTGGTGTTAGTTGACTCAATATGAAGATTTCTACTACTACTACTCGACTATCCCCAAAGACAGTATACCCCCAAACAACGGCAGATCCCCTTCTGTAGGTTGTAGTTGTAGTCTATATGTTTGACCTCCCAACCAGAGCAAACATACACTGTATACACTGTGTAATCTAGTCTAGAGTCCAAAGTTCTATTGCGTTCGTTTTGGTTTTCATGGCATAATAAAAAAAGAACAACCAATAAACTAGACTTGACTTCTTGTACCCAATCGCTTCCGATTCCTCACCCGTACTTTTTCATATTGTATGCAAAACCAGCATCTGCAGCCTTTCAATCAGTATATGTAACAATCACAAGCTCGCTAATATATCACCATTTTCACAGTGTCTCTCTAACAGCCAAATCACACAGGCTTAAAGTTGCCCTTGCAAGTGTAATCCTACAGTGAATGCCTGCTATCGGCTAACCTGTTCTCACACACCTTCCCCACTCTGCGACAAGGGAAAACGAGCAGGGGAGGATTAGGATGCAAAGAGAGTTCCCTAATCTGTGTATTAGCAGCAGCCAATTCAATCAGGCTGTCTCGGGCAGGAAGATTTTGGGAAGTCATCTGGAGTGTCTTAATGTGATCCGTGTAAAACAGTCCAGACCTAATTCTAAAGGAGGAACATATACTTCAAAGTCCGGCCGGAACACACACACCAGCATGCACACAGTGTTTCTGCTCTCCACATGCATGCACACTGAGAAACATCTGGATGTTGCTGTGTTGCAGCAGATCAGCATTTCATTTGATTCCTCTGATGAAACAAAGATTTGTGGAAAGAAGAGAGTGGTATGTGTTCCCCTTTGCATGTTCTTAATCCTGGACCAACAACTTATTTTTAGACTGCTGCCTTTGTAGACGAGACTGCAATATTTCAGGGACACGGAATGTCGTACTTATTATAGAGACTCTGTACTGTTGGTTTACCCTTTCAACTTCCTGTTTAAACTGCTTTAAATGTGATGTCTGTGTTCAACCCTCGCCCCCCCCCCCCAGCACCTCATGTATCATGAATGAGAATGTCTCCTCAGCCATCTTTTCTGGTTTAATAAGGCTAGAAAATTCTCCTGCTACTAAGCAGGGACTTTAATTATTGACCAGGGAAGGGAGGCTCTCCAACACACTTCCGTAAAACACACAAACACTGAGTGTACACGCACACACACACATGCACACAAACAGTGGTGAGTGACATCAGGACAGGCCTTTACATTACAAAGTCACCAACCCTGGGGTCAGCGAGGAGTCAGCTGGATAATAGATGAGCTTGAAAGAGGCAGACGACAAATCTGAAGCACTCGACTTACCACCTGTCTATCTGCCTGGGTGCCTAATTTTCCTTTTTGTGTACGACAATGTGACTGTTAGAGGAACAGCGAGATAAACTGCCAGTATGAGTGACCAATGAGGGGAATGAAACTGTGGAGATAGGTGGGAAAGCTCAGGTGAAGGGAGAAAGATAACAGCAGGGAAGGAGCGAGTGGCAGGATCTGTAACTTCAGGAGAGTGGCGATAAGGCTGGTAAAAACAGAAACAATGGTCTAAATCCGGGTGGACTCAAATTCAAAGAGATGGGATGGGAATTTTTCTCTACGATAAATCACATTGAAAAACAAACAATCAACAGATTAAACAATTATTATGCTGGAGCCTCATTTATTGTGTTGTTAGAGGACAAGTGGAGCGGGAGGACAGCGGACATGGTGCAAATGCCCTGCCTTACCACATGCATTGATTACAAAGCGTCGTAGTCATCGATCGATGCTACTTCTGTGGCTTCATCTTCTCACCGCCATCATTAGCACCTTCCTCTGTGTGTCCCACCTCTGTGTCCACAACGCCCTCCTGCCTCCTCTCTATCTTTCCCTTTCTTTGCTTTTCCATTTCTCCCCAAAACTTTCTCTCTCTCTACATTCCCCTGTACTGCACGTTGAGGTTGAGCTTAGCTTAGCATAAAGTCTGGAAACAGCTAGCCTGGCTCTGTCATAAGGTAACAAAATCCATCGCCAGCACATCTAAAGCCCACTTAATAACACCTTATTTCTTGTTTGTTTAATCAGTACAAAAAAAAGTGAAGAAACTTTAATGTGCCATTTTACAGGATTTATTTGCCGTACTACTTCTCGACCAGGAACACTTGCCAGACGGTCTCTTTCTGCATTATTCATATTATATATTTCCTCTTTCATTCATCAGTGCTTTCCAGTTATGTTCTCTTATGTGAAAGACTACAGTCAGTGCAAGTTTTAAAGTGCTACCCTTTCACCTCCCCAGCTTTGAGAGTATGTTCAGCTTAATGCATTCATGTATGTATACAAGAACCTTGCAGTAGCGGTCTAATTCAATAACAACACTTGACAATGTGCTTGTTAAAGTGAAATGCAAATGCCCAACTGTGATGCAAACTTTTAAAGGTAAAGAAACTTAATCTGCTATTTAATGTCGCTCAATCATTCATTCCGCCAACACAGTCATCAGACTGACGTACTATTTAAGTTCAATTGGATGTGAAGATCCGCAAGGCCAAATCGTCTAGACGCTCGATTTCAAAGGCCTTTTAGAAACTTGAATCAATAAAGTTGCTGTCTCCTCAACACACTGCTTCTCTAGATGCCTAGCCACAAGAGGCCTGATAACACTGAGCTTGTACAAACTCACCATCAATTAATCTTTATCCGTCTCTCTCTCGCTCTCTCTCTCTCTCTCTCTCTCTCTCTCTCTCTCTCTCTCTCTCTCTGCAAGTGAAGTGGTTGTCATAAGTGGAGAAGAGCTCTCTCAGTGAAGGAGAGTCCCGGTATGAAGTTGCCGAGTGTGTTCTCACTGTTTGCTTATGCTGGATGACAGTGAACCTTCATGTTTGCACGTGATTATGTGTGCTTATGTGTTATCGGTGCATGGGTGAGTGTGGATTTATGTAATACAGTAAAGGTCGGAAAGTGTTACCACTTACCTTTGGTGTGGTAATCATTCTCCGTGGTAGTAAATGTACACGTTTACTGGTTACTTTGACTGCAAAATGGTCGTCGAAACTACTGCGACACTCTCTGACTACATTTTTTGGTAATTCTTTGCATACAACACACACCTTTGTGTCCGGAAATGCTGTAAATTTAGATCTTGGGAGCATCCTCTCCGACCTCCTGATGTGCATCAGCTGATGGTCACCCTTGAATGTGTGTTGTTAACATCCAGAGCATTGTGAGGATTTTAGCCCAGGGTGAATGGGTTGATGAAATATAAAATGATGTCCTCAGTTAATTAACAGACACGACATTTGTGGATTCATATTGATACAAATTAAGAATGACATGTTTACGGAAATTCAAGAGGATTCAAATTACTGTAAGCTATTTTGGCAGTGTTTTCTGTCGCTCTTCTTCTATTCAAACAACTTTGAGTCTCTATTTATAGATCACTTCCTCTTTCATGTCTTCGTTCTCAGGATTTTCAATTATGCAGACTCTTTTAAGTGTACTAGCTGGCCTGACCATGGATCATTAGCTGCATGCTTTCAGTATCCACTGCAGGCTTTATTTGATATAAAGCTAAAAGTCCAAAATACAGGGCATACTTTGTCCTACAAATGAACCAGCAACTTGGTACAAGCTTAAACTCACTGGATTTTTAAATAACATGAATTTGAGTCATTTATTGAAGATGATGGTTTCCTTTTCTTCTCTCATCTAAGATGGAAAAGGAGAGGTTTTATAAACACTATGAACGTCTTTGGCTAATTTGGCTAAATGATCAAATGTACACAACTGGGGCAAAGGCACATTACACCACCAGTGCAAACTCAACATCCTCCTTACACACAGCTGATTATGAAATGATGTACCAAGTTATGGATTGTGAAGTTTACCCTCTGTGT